ACACACACACACACACACACTCACACACGTACGAATGCAGAATGACATAATTTATTAATTGTGTAAGCTAATAAACTGATATTACTGAAACACATTGTTAGGGACACTTGTCCCAACCTGCTAACAGTTAAAAAACCAACTTAACAAGCTGGAGCAAAATGTTGAAATATTTCCCCGAACAGTTTATTAGTTTGAGCGCGTGGTCGAAGCTTTTTCTCGCTAAACTTCATTCCTGTGAAACCCATTTCCTCGCAGTCATATTTGCCAGAGCTCCAGACATTTAGCGTCATAAAATCCACTTTTGCGTCCGCCCGTTGCGACAATAACAGAGAAGTGAGAGGAGAGATCTGGAGTATAAACACCGGCGATGAAGAGGAGTATATAGGGAGGAAGGGAGGGAGGTCAACCCAGGTGAGCAGACTTGAAAGTGTGCGATCATATGACCGTAGGTCGTCTCTCTGCTACAATGCATCCCAGATGGCTGCTAACTCAACAACTATGTGTTTTTTGGCACCAGGCCTCCCGTTTGTGTAGTCTGCGCTGAAGTGCTTATGAGTATTTTTGCGTGGGTTTATGACGAGAGCGGGACTTCATTTGTGCCGGTGATTTATAGATCTACTTTGATGCTTTCCGTCCTCGTCTGCCTGCCAGCCCCACCCGCACCCACCCCAAGTCTCTCTCTTGTCTTTTTTTTAACTCATGCAGATGGTTCTTGTTGTGCGGGGTAAGGTCACTGCTATGCAGGGCCTTTACCCGTTGCATGCTGGGTAATGTCTCCGCCCAAATGTGTCTCTTCATCAAAGAGGGTTTGCTACCAGATTTCTGTTCATTTCACACTGTGCTGGTCGGCAGGAGAAGGTCTATCAGCTTGTTTTCACTTGAGTTGTAACTGCAGTCTGCCTTCGTTCATATTTTTATGTCCTCCCGCCAAGACACATACCTGGACTTTATTTTGGACTTCCTCCACATTGCCATCTGAGTATATTTCAGAGGGAATTTCTATCTCAGTTTAAAGGAATATTTTGACATTTTGGGAAATACGCGTATTTAAAGTTAGACGGGAAGATTGACGCCACTCTCACAGCTATAGAGTAAATGTGCACATTGCTAGCTTAGCTTAGCATAAAGGCAAGGGGCTGTGTTTGAAATCGCATACCAACTCAAAGTATCCTCATACAACGGTTCGTAGGAAAGTCCCTCCTCCTCATGAGTCACGTCTCATTCTAAGGTAACGAAAACATTGTACACTAAAGAAAACATACTTAATAATAATATATTCCATTTCTGCCAATAGATCCCCCCAAAAGCTACACACTGTTACTTTAACCATCTTATATTTCCTTTTAATTAAAACAGGATGACTGATGGCTGTTATCAAGTGTCACAATACTCATTTTCTCACCTCATTTATTTTTTCTCCATTGAAGCTTTAACAACAACGCCTTCACTGAGTAAAGCATCCAAAGCCATATAGAGATGCATAGTGTGTCATGTAATATATACATATTTTAGCATCTTTGGAAGGTTTCAGTTAAAAATACAATTTGCTAATGGCACTGGTGTTAATGGAGTAAATTTGGTAATTAGCATAATTAGCATAGCGTATTTATAGAGGAGCATTTGAATAAACACCGCCTTGTAATTCAAAGTGGAGGTGAATGCTTTTCACGATGCACAAAGCACATTTTTACAATGACTAAATAAATACCTGTGAATCTGTGTGTTTTTGGTGCTGGTGATGAGTTCAGGCTCTCTTTTGCTGATTCGGTCCTGAGCTTTGAATGGATGAAGCCATCCCGGAGAAATGTAATCTTACAGTGAAAGAACGTACAAAACGTTTGTCTTCACATTTCTTCAGCAGCGAAAGGATTTACAATTCTATATTTAATCTGAAGCATGAGAGTGCTCGGCCCTTCTTGTCACTTTAGAGGACAGTACAATGGAGAATGTGTCAGATAAATGTTTCAGAGACTATATTAATGTCAGTGTCATCCAACAGTACAGATACTCTCTTGTGCTCTAAAGAGAATTAATCTGATCTAGGTTGTTAGATTTTCTCAATGATAGAATAAACATGAAGTGGTTTGTTCTTTCTGTCTTTCTGTCCTTTCTGTCCTTATCCTTCTGGTATTTTCTCCAGTTAAACTTTTTTCTGTCAAACCACGCAACCCCCACGCATTTCCATTTTATTAGAAGGAGTCATTCCTTCTTCCCTCCACTTCTTCCACTTCTTCCAGTTGTCCCGTCACCGTCAGTTCACATCATTTCATTTATAAGTCTTTGGCTTGGCATGAGCTGTCTATTCGCTCACTCACTCCTCCTCTCCTGCTGTCCCAAACCATATGAGGGCAGTTACAGGGCTTCTTGTATTCTCTTACCAGCAGCCCCACACCCTGTCCACTATAACACAACCCTCCACCTCCCTTGTGTCGGGTATTACACACCAGCTATCTTTTACCCCTTTACACACACACACACACACACACACACACACACACACACACACCTGCTACCAACCAGGTGCCAGTCAGGTGGCGCTCTGCCCAGAAATGACTGGCACAAGCTTCGACATGTGTGGAGCTGCAGAGCGTGTGTGTGTGTGTGTGTGTGGCAGAGGACGCGTGCCTGACATGCCAGAAATGAGTAAAGCCACTCGAGCTGTTTCATTGGAATACGTTGAATGTGTGTGTGTGTGTGAGGGTGTGTGTGTGTGTGCGCGTGTGTGAAACCCACGGGGAACGTCTAACTGCCTTTGGCACCCATTACCAGTAACATAGCAGTGATGAGAAGTGATGTGTGTGTGTATATATACCTGTGCTTGTAAACTCTGTGTGGCAGAGCAGAGAGGTTTCTTCCCTTCAGTATACAGGTCACCTCTTACGTATGGACATATGTTCAGTGTGATATTTGTGTGATTTCACGGCCTGTTTTAGCCAGGATGCCGATTCATGGGGCAACCAGACGGTAAGAAAATAATACAAGAATACTTTAGACATTTCTCCTCTGTTGTTATTTTATTTTCTTTGCTCTTGATTTTTCTCTATTTACAATGATTTTTAAAGTGAAGAACGTGCGGAGAGACATAAAAGAGACTTGTCTGGATGATGTGGACTTAAGAAAAACAGGAGGAAAAGGGAATTTAAATTTAAAGCGGAGGAGCTGTTGATGCCGTTAATTCAGTCTTGATAGAAAAACAGAGGGCGCACGCCGTGAGAGATGTTTTTTATTGTACTCCGAGCTTCTGTTGAGGGTTGATGTGACTGTGGAGGAATGAAAACAGTAATTATCATTTTTAAGCAGGTCATGTTTTGATGGCGTCATGTTTCATTGTGCATGGGAAATTAGCATCGCCAAACAGGCCAGCGGGCTGAATGGTCTAATTAAGCAGCACAGATAGGATCGTGTGTGTGTGTGTGTGTGTGTGTGTGTGTGTGTGTGTGTGGCGATCAGCGTTCCCTCAGCGTTCTCGTTGTTTCTTGGAGAGATGAAAGCACCCCCTATGCTTTGTGTTCATTAGCGTTAACGCTCTACCTGTGTGATTTGTACAGCCCGTCTCTGAATGGGGAATCAATGGAGCATCGTGGTGCTCGTGACGCTAATGCACCGACTGCCTTGTTAGGGATGATAACTGCATAACGAGCTTCAGCTAATCAATGAAATGCATCCCACTTCACTCATAATCCTGGATGAGACGCAGGACCACAGTCTTGGCTCAAAGGCTCTCAAGCGGCTTTTCTTTAAATTATAGTTTGTTCGCTTTTAAACGAGCCTTACTGTTAGATTGAGTGGGAATGGTTGCTGTGTGTGTGTGTGTGTGTGTGTGTGTGTGTGTTTGTTAAAGGGAGTCAGTTAGTCGTGTGTCACTTTCTTAGTGTTTTTAAAATTACAGAGATAACATGCAGCCCTTTAGGCTACTGGTTCCCAAAAAGGTTTTTTCTAAGGACCCACTTTTTAAAAATGACAAACCATCCTCAGCTATTTCTGAGGGATACACATTTGATGAATCACAACCTTGTTTTAAATATGTGTTATTGAAAACATGTAGAATTTAGACTAAATAAATGCATTTAGACATTTTTTTGTCAGTAAAACAAACTGAATTTTGTGTAAAATATCATACGAAGCATTGTATGAGGATACGTTGATAAAAGACTTAACCAGCGTCCCTTCCTGTCATCCACAGTACCAGGGAGCACGTGACCCCGGAGATGAACAAGCTTCGTCAGAGCCTGAGGAGGAAGAAGCCCACCTACGTGCCAGAGGCCAGCAGACCGCATCAGTGGCAGGCGGACGAGGAGGCTGTACGGAAGGGCAAATGTAACTTCCCCGTTCGGGTGAGTATCCAAAGCCGGTACAGTTCTGGTCCACTGTGATAATCATATGTCAATGTGTTTCCTCCCCAGAGGGAATATTCTCACCATAAACTCACAGCATACGTCTGACATAATAAACACTATAATTCTGCAGGGCCAAGCAAAAAGGGGGAAAGATGGGTCGTGGCCTAGAACACCGTATATTTATCACAACCCACGCCAGTGCTTCCTGTTTAAGGACGCTCTAAAATAAAAGGTGCACTAGATCCTCATTTATTCAGCACTTTATCCTTGAACACCACAGAAGAAGAGCAAATCCAGAATCTACTTCTGGACAAAGCCTCACACATGTAGGTCTGTTATGCAACAGCGTTGCACGGATGTAATTTATGTACGATTTGGGTTTGGTTAATTTTTGTTTTTCTTAAAGGAGCAGTTTGGTATTTTGGAAAAATGTGCTTGTAAACTTAGCTTAGCATAAAGACTGGAAACAACCAGCCTGGTTCTTTATGCTAAGCTAAGCTAAGCCAATTGTCTTCTGCTGGCTGTAGCTTCATATTCAGCGTGATATGAGACTGATATCCATATTGTCGTCTAACTCTCTGCCAGAGAACGAATAAGCGTATGTTTCAAAATGCTGAACTGTTCCTCTAAAAACGCAAGACAACTGATTTGATTTTTGGAGATTTTAATGGGTTTGAGACAAAAATGTAAGCATTTTAGTGTCCATCTCATTGTGTAGGTGAATATACCCAAAATGTACATGGATTACAGACTGTATCACACAAACATGGCAGAGTTTGGTGTATTTAATGGTACATATTTGGTGGATTGGTTGCCTTAATATTGGAAACATGTGAATTTTAGCTTTTTTATATACTCATGTCCAATAAATAAAGATATTTCTTTATATTAGTAGGACTGAAAAGCCTTTATCCTTATACAAACCAGGTTGTAATTAAAATGTCTCTTCACTCTGAGATAAATGCCTCATGTGCAATAAGCACAAATAAGAGGCATTATTGATGGCCCAATTTACTGATAACCAGCGTTAGTATGTGAACGGCCGGAGAGACAATGACGGTGAGAGATGGAGGACAAAGAGGGAGGAATAACATCGAGGTGGAGTTGTAGATTAAGGACTCCACAGGAAATGACAGGGTGAGGGATGAGGGCGCGCAGAGGGGGACGGAGAGACATTGTGAGATATGAAATGAGAGCGAGAGAGAGAGAGAGACATAGAAGGGGATAAGATGGGCAAAAAGACAGAAAAGGGCTGCAGACTGAATGTAGAAGCAGAAGAAGAATACGAGGCAGAGAGAGAAAGACGAAGGAAGAGAATAGTGTTGGAAAAGGCAGCGTGAGTGGCAAGCTAATGGAGAACGGTGCTGATGGTAATGCTCCGCAGACTTCGCGATGAGGCACGGTAGCACTAAAAAAACCTCTCAGTCTCTTTATTGTAGCCTTTCTTTCCTCCTCGTCCCCCTTTGTTCATCCTTCCTTTCTCACATCTCTGCCTCCATCTCCGTTTTCACTCTAAATGTATTCACGACTCATGCACTATTAATGTCTCTGTGAGAGCTGCTCAACTGCACCAGAGGAAAGAAAACAGGTTTTTGTTTGTTGTTGTTGCTCAGAGTGAAAAGTTGACTTTTAGAGAAGTTTGGAAAGTTCTAAAAAATGTCCTGCTGGAAAGTGAAGCAAACAGACACAAATATTACACGAGGGTTCTGAAAGGTGAAGCCAATGCGGAAGTCTTTTAAGCTTGCATAGTCTCTAATAGCTAGCAGGGGGTCAACTCCTCGAACAAAGAAGTCTATGAGAAAATGACTCTACTTGATTTATTACCTCAGTAAACATTGTAAACATGAGTTTAGAGTCAAATAGACCATCAAGCTTTGATTATAAAAACTGGTGAACTTTTGCAATATATTTACAGTTTCTGCCCAAAACCATTCACCACCTTGTTAAAATCCACGGCTTCTTGCCCAGATTGCAGGATGCTAATTGCTAATCATGCACTCTGAACATTTTCCACCAATTACTTTTGTGAATTCGTGCAGTTTATGAAACAACAACAACTTCTCATGTTGTTGACCTCCTTGCAAGCTCTCAGTCATTTAAATCTGGTTTGTTTTAAACCCTCCCACACGCATCCGCATCTAACGACGACATCGCTCTGGAAGAACTGTCTATTTGTGTTCTGCGAGCTCAAAACCGGCAATGTTTTAAAAAAACAACTCTCATTCATAATTCTGCCGCACTTCACTTATTGTTTACAACAGGTATATCAGTTCAGGGACCAATCTCTCCCCCCAAAAACTCAGAGCTCTCCTTAAAACTTGCCTCACCACTTGGCTTCTGAATGGAGCTTTAATTGAGTCTCTGTGGGCTCCCCGTAAAACCACAGAGCCCACAACACTGGAGAGACAACATAAGGGGTCGTGAGGCTATAGATTATTACAACCCCTTCCTTATTATCAGCAGCAACGTGTGGCTGTAAATCCAGTATGGCTGCTTATTAGCTACTTTCCTTGTCAATTTCATAGCACTCTTAAAAATACTGAAACTAATGAGGCTTTGGTCGCTTTTTATGTCACTTCGTCTCTTGTCTGTTGTTTTCACATAGTTTCCAGCTCAGCTGCATCTGTTGATATTTCTGCTCCGATCTCTCTGCAGTACCTGGGGTTGGTTGAGGTGGAGGAGTCGAGAGGGATGCACGTATGCGAGGAGGCGGTGAAGAAGCTAAAAGTTGTAAGTACATCCCCACACACACGCGCACACACACACACACACACACACACACACAGACACAAGTCCTCTGCTGAAGTACTTCAGAGCTCATTACAGACCCAGTTGCGAAAAAGCTCATGCAGTAAAGTATTTTCTACCAAAGGAGCAAGCACACACAAACACACATTCGATACTGTCTGCAGTTGCCCCCTGTTGTTATTTTCTCTTCTTTACCACCTTCATCTCCCTCATCGCCCTCCCCGGTGGGTCTTATTCCATATCTGTCTGTCTGCTCATCAGTCTGTCTAATCCCACTACGCCCA